CTTTGTGCAGTCACATAGCCCTGGTCATGGCTGATGCCAATGCTGATGTGCACCTGAAAAATGTAACTACTGTACATGTCGCAATGACTGACAGATGCGAGCCCTCTGGAGCAAGTGTTTACAAGTGTCGAGCCCCGTTAAGGAGCTCCAGATGAAAACTTTTGTTTTGCGTTTACCCTATGATTAAAGTTGTTACAAGTCTGCAGATAACTGCACACTAAAGGTTACTGCACACTGAATCTGAAATTTTAGTCTGTAAATTTTGCATGTTAAAAAATAAATTCAACCTCACATTGTTTGAATCATATTGACACACTGCCTCCAATACTTTCGTCTGCAATACAAAAAATTCTAACTGGTTTAATTTTTTTTTCTGCTTTTCGCATCCAAAAAAACGATTTAAGAGGTGTTTAACAATTCAGAGCTATCCTATCTATGTAGGCTAGTCCTAAATGCACCTAAATGCAAACCATGTGTAGCCTCTTCCCCTTTCTTTTTCTACTTTGTAGAAGAAAGCGGAGAAGAAAGTACTGTATCACTGCTTGAACTGACTCCGAAATGTTTAGCATTTTTTTTGTGATGGATTGATTAATACACATCAGACTCTGTGTGCAAGGTTTGTTTATGTGACAAATTTTTTTGCATATGAATATGAAAAAAGCGCATATGAAAATTTCGGACTTCAGTGTGAAAAAAATGAGCTTAAGAATGATTAAGAATAAGCAAGTTTCAGCTATTTGTACATTAAGGTAACATTCAGAAAAAACAAAACGCATGCAAAGAAACTCAACACAGGAACATAAAACACGCTCCCAGCTAGCATTTCGCAAGCGTTATTGCAGAGCAACACAAAAAGTATGCAAAAGTATAAATGCATGACTACATACAAGGCATGTGCAGTGGGTCAACAGCGATCGCTCGACGTCCCATGGCTAAGTGTCTGTTAGGTTAGTTTGTTTGATGTGTTCCACAAGTCTACACTCATCGGGCTCATGTTGGTGGGAGTTAGCCATATTCAGCATTTAGCAACATTGGGGCCATTGGCAAGAGAGTGTGATCTGATTGTCTGTTCAGCTACAAATCAGAACACAAGGACAAAAACTTAAGTGTCAAAACTAAGCAAATGACACAAGTCAAGAGGGAACTTAAAGATGCCAGCTGTCATTTTGTCACATTTCCCAAGTGTTGGTAAAAAATGTGGATTATCAGGCATATTTGTACGCACAAATCCCACTGTGGTGAGTAACAATGTACTGTGAAAACTAGGGTTGGGTAATAAAACACTATCTATACCCTAAGTAACTGGTATGCATCGGACCGAATCAGCATATGAATTTTCTTGCCTAATTTCGGTGCCACTGGTGTTGCGAAAAGGATGCAGGAAACATCAAGGAATACATCACAGGCACACATAGGTGCGCATTGTGTCATCATCTCTATAGAGTTCATTCGAAACAACGGACACCATTAGCACTGTTAGTCATTTATTCTAAGGAAATGCATGCACATAGGTAACGTGCGCAGTACAGCTTATGCAGTGAGCATCTAGCTTCAGATTCATCAACACGCAAGATCACGTTCATCAAATTTGCTTAAACTAAGCATTCTAAAGTATGACCATATTTTACAAGTAAGAATTCTGACACAGCAAAATGAAGCAGATGCTTTACAAAAGCTGCATATAAGGGAATCAACTTAAAGGTAGAGGAATGCACTGTCTTTGACAGTTTGCAACATCATTTGGCACTTTCACTGAGTATGTTTACATGAGCACCGATACTCTGACTTTAATATGAATAAGACAATACTCTGATTTAGAGTCTACTATGTAAACAGCGATTCTTGATTACCTTAAAGGACAACAGACGTCACAATGCTGAGGTTTTTTTTTTTTTTCCATTCAGCGTGCAGTATCAAATTTTATTAAAACAACACTCTTGCACCAGTCCTTACTTTGTATTCTCGTCCAATATCTCAGTTTGTCATGGGGCATGAACAATATATTGCTGACTGAAAATGAAACTGCCGAACGGCAGTTAAGGTTGAAAAATGAAACCTCCAAAATTTGGATAGCGTGGTGACGCAATGACGTTAATCAATCCATGTGCTATAACATGTAAAACGGGATCATAAACGGAACATTCAAAAAGCAACTTTCAAAACAGCATACACTTGAATTATATTGTCTTATTTAGATTAGGCAAATAATTAGATTTACCGATGTTCACAAGCCCCAACCCTAGAAAAAAAGGTTTTCCCTGTTTGTGATGACAGCCTTTCCACAAGTTAGTAGTAAGCTAATGTAATGTTAATTGCATAATGCAAATCTCAAATCCATGCTAACAAACCAATGATCAAAAGAAAATAATGCGATTAAATTCAAATAGATAAAATATGAATTGATGTGTACTTTAATCTTGTTGATCAATTAAAATGATTAAAATATATTTTTTTGTCAAATAAAAGATTTTTCTAGAGTCATCCACCATAATTTTGTGGCTCAAAAGTATTGGTTCAGGGACCGTTTTGGCACCAGTACTGTTTTAAAAGTATAAATTTAGCACTAGTATAGAGATGACCCCAAATGATACCCAACCCTATGGAAAAACACTGCTTTGTTTAAAGCATGTATATGTGTGACACTAGTTCCAGTTTGCCCTTATAGAATGAGAATACAGAAAATTGCAAAGTGCGGGAAAGTAAAAATATCTCTCTCATGCAGATACAGAATGCACACTGTAGCTTTAGTGAGCTGTTGTCCATTTGGTGTGTTCAAGAACTTTTTGGCCCAGACGGGAGCAGGTACAACTGACATAGGATTTCACTGCCACTACTTCTTTGACGTTAGTTTGGTGTGTCCCAGGTTTAAAACCCTCTATATGACAAATCGAAGAATAACAAATAGGAGTGATTTATTTAGTTAAACTGTGTTTTTTATAAAAAAAAATTATTTTAATGGAGGTTAACAATAAAGCGACAATGCCTGTTAAAGAGTAGGTTTGCATGATCATGTTGCAGTTCTTCTCAAATGAATTGAGGGCAATTGCACCTAGTATATTAATGATGCATGTTTAAGGCTTATTAAAGTCAACACATTTTTTTTCCCGGTTTAACTGTCATGGTGCTTCAGTTAAAATGAGTTTGAGCTCCTTTGCCAATCCTTCCACTCTCCTAATTCCTTCACTTTCGCATATTCAATTGCTGAGCAGAAAACTAGAAACTCCAAGAGTACTAAAATATCTTAAAGGCAAACTCGCATACATTCCAAATCTAAAATACTGCAAACATCAGCTGAATGACTTACATTGCTAAGACCACTTTTCTCACTGTACAATTACAATCAAAATCCTAAATGAGAGTACCTTCATCTATAAATAACATGAGGACAAGTAAATAATATGAAAGAAATAGTGTCTAAACATTTTAATTATTTGTAATAATTCTGTCCACATGAACAATTGCATTTTGGACATTTTCACAGCATTTTATATCTATGAGAGTTCTTTTGACAAAAGCCAGTGAGCAGTGTCACTATCATCATGATGACATCTCCCAGACCTTCCATGAACTTTCTTTAGAAGCATTCAAATGGTCATCTTTAAAAAGGACCAAGCATTTCTTTCAGGGGAATTGGGATGTTGTTGAGTTTAATAAGCCGTGTCATGAATGTGTGTATATTTAACAACCACACACTGATAAAATGGCTGGAATGTCTTCAGCCATCAAAGGTCCTGACTGTTTTTTCCTGCTCTGACATCTGCCTTGTAAAAACTTCTGTGGGACTGAGATTGTTGCTAAATATCTGACATATCTCACAATAACTTTCCCACAACTTCATTTGCACAATTTTAGCTTTGCGGGCAATCGCTGTAACTCTTTCCCTACATATTACTGCTGGTTCTTCCATTTTTTCAAGATGCTAAAGAGTCCAGGCATCATCCAGTGGAGAATGCAGAGCAGCACAAACAAGATCTCATAAGCAGTGTGCTATTGATGATGCTAATAAAATCAAGGCTAAAAGAAGCAAAAGGAAAGGTCAGTCATACTGTTTCAATAATGTTCTAGATAAACCATTTCCAGATTGAGACCCCATAACCATAAGCTTTGTGAGGTGACTTTTTCAAAGTTTATATACTCAACGTTGCTATGAAAATATTGTAAATGTTAACCCTTTTATTGTGAACGGTATTTACGGATGGAAATCATAATCTCATTTCCTAGGAGTAATATCTGGAGCCTGCTGTGAAGAAGTATTAAGGTTAAATTGTCCCACTGAAAACCTGTTTTTCCCATGAGGTTCTATACCGGCGGCGAATAAATGGATTTATGAGCCACATTTCAGGAGCAGAGCGAAGAAATACTCTTTCGTGAGAAGGCTCAGTGTAAGATGAACAAACATGTAAGCCCCTTGCAGTGCTTGCATTAAGCAGAACTAACTTCAATGTTCTGCTGCAGATGCCTTCAACATTGAGACTTACCAGCCCTCGTCAACATCAACTTCACTTGTTCATGTGACAACATATAAAATTCAGTACTGATTCACATTCAGTATAAAAACAGAATAAAAATACAAAAAAAAAAAAAAAAAAAGCATTTACAAGAGCACACATTGTATTTATTTATAAACATAAGTGCCTATTTTGGTCAAATAAAATGTTAGAAATGAAAATACTCCATTACATGTAAAGTATATAAATAATGGATTACTGTTTACTTAATTTATGGTGGAGTGTAGTGCTACCTATGCTGTAAACTAAAGTCTTAGATCCATGGCCAAACAGCAACATGTTCCATTAGTTGTTGGTTATTGTGCCATGACTGGTTCAGACCAGTAAAAAAATATATATATATTTTACAATTAAAACAAATTTAACCTTTAAAAAAAAAATTACAGATTTAAAAAGAAAAAAAAGTGCCATCCTGACTTTTTATTTTGAAATAACACAGTGGCTTCAGAACTGTAATTTATTCTTATAAATGAGTTCAGAGATTGTCTGTACCTGAGAAAGGGGCCGAGACAGTCTGTGACTCTGTACATTCTTCTCCTCTGAGGACCAGGAATGGAACTGCAGGCTAAAATATAAAGAAATAGCTAGTTTAAGTACCCTACAAGTCAACGGGACATTTCTGATCTGCTAACTATTCAAGCAAGATTTGATGTGGGTTGTTATAAATTCACTACTGTTCGACAAATTTATTTATTTATTTATTTAAGACACTTTAATACTATTTTTTTAAGCAAAGAATATATTAAAGTATTACAAACATTACTCCAGGTTGGGGGTTTAACGTTGGGCTAACGACTCACCTCAAAAAAAAAAAAAAAAAAAAAAGATGTTACAATATACCGACATGGTGTGGCTAAATATCAACTTTGATATATACGGCCCTGGGAGTTAGTATTACAAACATCGAAATGAGTAGTTACAATATAATATAATATATATATACAAAATAATAAATAAATGCTACATCCAATATTAAGCAGCATTATTTTTCACATTATTATTCAAGAATTTCTTCTTGTTGACCAAATCTTCATGCTAGAAAAAAAGGACAATGTTACAGGACTGGAAAGACGGCTGCAGAAGTTTCAGCTTTGTCATTAAAATAAGATTTTTTTGCAAAATGTTTGCTGTTACACAGTTATTCATTTATATAGTTGTACTCTAAATACAGTGTTGACCCTAATGTGCAATACAGATCTTATTAGGTGTTCAGTATCCAAAAAAGCAAGTAACTTTCTCAGCAACATGCTGTGCTGTAATGCAGGCATCTGCCAAGTTCTGCATGATTAATCCATAATTTATGAATCTACTCATAATCCATCAAAGCATCTGCTAAATGAGTAAATGTTAATCACAAAATCTAATCAAATGAGTTTCATTAGCAGTGACATGGAATGTGCTCCAGCCTGTGAGATGTCAGTCATTTACGGTTTTAAAGTGGAGGAGAACAGATAAAGTGAAGTTTGAATCTACTGTGTGTGAGCATGCATATACATGCATATACAGTAAGTGAAAGTTTATTAACCCCTTTGCAGAATCAGTGAAAATGTAAAGAAAAAAAAAAAAAAACTGAGAACATACAAAATTATATTAAAAATGTTTATTTAATACTATACCAAAAAAAAAAGTTTACAGGTTTTTTAACTATAGGCAAAAAAAGTAGTTTAGCAATTAAACAAACAAACAAAAGCTTATGTAAAATTCGAAATTATGATGTTTGTTTGAGGGATTTGCCCCAACCTTCTCCATCATTTTTCCATCTCCTCTATGATTGGTTGGTAGCCCAAATCAAAGTTACCATGGGCCAACTTCGAGTATCTGTGGTTAAAACAATTAACATATTCACTGATTCTGCAAGGGATCCACAAAATTTCTCTAACCACTGTACATGTGTGTATAGACCCACTCACACTATGCTATCCGAACCATGCCTAGGCTTGTTTCATTTCGATCGTTTGAGAAGTGTGAGTGCTCTGAATTTGGCTATATATGCAGCACAAGAACTTTATGATGTTTCTGAGCGTCAAAAGTTGCTGATCTGTTCGGCAAAACATTTGACAGCATGCAGTGGTGGATTTAGGCATGGGCAATATGGCAGATCGCCCTTTGCTTGCAGGTGGCACGGGGAGACGTTGATGGGGAGAAAAAAAACGAGCCCGAGTAAAAGCTTTGAGATACCATTTACTTTATGCAGGTATATTCATTCAGAGTGTTAATACCAGAATAAAGACTTTAGGGGCCATTCACATTTAGTGTCTTTTGCATGCGCAAGTTGGTTACTCTCTATGTGCAACCGAAACAATGCTTATGAAATCAAACTGACGCATGCACGCAGAAAACGATTCCTGTGCGCCTCACACTCCCGGTGTTAATCTAGGTTTTTTACAGTCACATCGCTAAAATACAAGCGTCTATGTGCTGTGAAACCGGAGTGACTGGTGTAACTTTTATGCAGAGGTGTCGGCACGCAGCAAGTTTTGCCAGTGTACAAAATTGAAGTTTATATGATGACGATGTTATTTTGACTAATCATGGCCATGAAGCAGAAAGGAGGGATAATGAGTCAGGGAGGTAAGACTTTCTCGGCCATGAGTGGAGTCAAAGACAACAGATAACTCCATAAAATATGTTTTTTTTTGTTTTTAATAGAATTGTCATTAATATTCATGCAAAAGATTTCTTGAATAGTCTTTGCATATCACTCCAGTTGTGTCTTTCTTTAAATTGTTTTCCAGTTACATTTAGGATTGATTTCTGTAATTTATTTAGTATAATAATTGTATATTAATAATATTGAGCGGTATATTGGCCAGTACTGGGTTGCGGCTGGAAGGGTATCCGTATGGGGTGGTTCGCCCAGGCTGCATGCCTTTTTATAGAATTCCTAAATAATTTTGTAATAGCTGCAGTATCTCAAGTCTACTATAAAAATGATTCTCTTGAGATATTGTGTACCTTGGAGTATTTTACATATGAATAAATTGTACAACAATGCTGGTATTCTAATCAAATACATGCTCCAGATTGCAAATCCACCTTGACTACGCAAATGCCACAAAAACAATCAAAGAAACTTTACACACTTAGACATGGTATATTATATCATTGGCCAGATCAGCCTCCAGTAAACGTGACTTCTGTAGAGGTTAAAGACTACTACTAAATAAATTGTATATATCCCCATGAGTAAATTTGCTACAATCATCAATTACATGTATCATGCAATGATTTCAGTGTATTCTCTGACCAAAACATTAACAGCAAATGTATATAGAGTACACAATTTTGTTTCAATGTGACAGTAGCAAACATCCGTGTTTCAACTGTACCTCTTATTGGTGGGAGTGATCCTACCCCCTCTGCGGTCAGGGCTTGAAGGTGGCTCTGGTGTATATGGACCAGGTGACAGAGATGCCGGGCTGGAGATGGTGTACTCTTTGTAGTTCTGGTTCTCATCGCGACTCACCTGCACAGCTTCCTGCACAAGCAGTGAAAAAATTGAAAACACGATTAATAACTGTTCAGGTGAACAAAAGAAAGCAGGTGACTATCGAATGAGAGGATGAGCAGGTGCACAGTAAGACACAGGTGATCCTCACTCACTGATGAGGGCTTTAGTGTCACGCACACAGCTGATGTGATGTCCTTGTGCAAAACAACCGTGTCTGAAAATGCAACGAGTGCGATCTGTTCTATTTAAATGGACTAGAAAAAAGCGTTGCTTGTGCACCCACAATCCTGCTGCTTTCAAGAGCAGTTCAGGAGCAGTTGCCGCTTTCGCTTTAACCATTCTTTGAACAGAAATTATGTTAACTGTGTTCGCCTGATCATCCTTTCATTATCGCACACAGAATGTTTTTTACATGTTTTGTTTTGCTTAAAGTTATTTTTATTAATAGTGTTTAATTATCATCCTTTACAATAACACTGCTTTAAAATGAAATTAACTCTCCAATAATGTATAGTCAACTGGTGATCTGGGACCTTTAGCCAAGACAGACTACTGTGTATAGTTTTAGATATATGGAAATATTATATTTTTTTTAAATGTCAATTTTAAAAAATATATATATTTTTGTTGAATAAAAAGTGTGTTTATGGTTATATATTGCTTGTTCTCACCACTAGCTTGCATGGTTTGGGATCATTAGAGCTATACATCAATGGATTTGCTCTTCAGTGTTAGGCCCTCAGTAGTGATTAATAAACCACATTGAACTGAGCTGAAATGAACTTAAACACCAAATACTGCACACCCATGCTGTTTCATGACAAAATATAGTATACAATTTTTCCAGTAGTACAATGTTAACATTAAAAAGTCTATTTTAATTCGATGCATTTTCGTTTCAAATGTGATCTTTTTAATAGTCATTTCTGAGTAACGTTTATCTACACAATTTTTGTAAAAAGATTCCATTAGTGTAATTTTACATTTGTACCGCACATTGTTTAAGGCTTCAAAAATGCTGTTTTATTTCAAATGGCTGTTTTAATTCAATGAGTTACTCCATCTCTTTGCAAATGTGAATTTTAGTTTTTTTTTTCTTTTTTCTCTGAGCTCTTATCTGAAATGAACCTGACAAACAATAATGATTTAATAAGTAGACAGTGGCTCATCTTCTCTTAATGTATACCAGGCATGCTCTTAACACTCAAATCAGAGAATAAATTCAAACACCAAGTTAAGTGTCTATTGATTTTTATGGGTGTTTTTATTTGGAACTTGTGGAGCTACGCAACGATGGATTTGTTCTTCAGTGTTTGGACTAAGTAGTGAAAAATAAACCACACTGAACTGAACTAAACTTAACTTCAACTATGAAAACTGGACTGACACAGTTTCAATTTACTAGAACTTCTTTATTAAGCTGTTTTGACACAATCTACATTGTAAAAGAACTATAGAAATAAAGATGAATTTTTATTTTACTCACCTGAAAACGGCCAACCAGCTGCTCTGTGATTCCATTGGTCTGACCAGGAGTGGGGGGAGCAGGTCTGTGTGATAAGAATCGAACATTAGGAGATGAAAGTTTTGTGGATGGTACAAAATCGCAATAAACCAGGGGATTCAAGCATATTTAAAAAGTCAAATCCATTAGTTTGTTTTGATAAAGCAGCTTGATAAATTAAACTCCACTTCAAAAGAAATAGAAAATCTTAAGTTATGCTGAAACTTGAGATACATTCTATACACAACGCCAAGACATAACACATGACTGAAAGAACAAACAACTACAAACTGATAAAAACCTCATGATAGAAACCTCAACACTGCCTTCATATAAGAATATATATGATATTTTCTCCTAAAAGTATGGAGAGTTGGTACTTATATGCATATGTGCCCAAATTTCATTCTTCTCATCCATAAAATGAGAGATGCAGATCAAATAAGAACTCAAATCCAAAGTGACCCATTACTCTTACTGCTGTTAAACAATTCATCACTCTTTATCCATTCACCAAATAATGATTTTGTCTGCCGTTCTGACCACTGCTGCTGCTGGATCCTAAAACTATAGCTGGATCCATCTACTCCAGTTGATCCTACTTGGAATCTCTACTTACTGGACATCAATAGCTTGCAATATACCACAGCCAAAATAAATGGTGCCAGCAAGAAAAGTGTGGGAAATATGAGGGATGACTATATCAGATCCTAATTTCGCACCTATTATTCAGCTATTCTAGCTTTTTATATTATAATTTACAGGTTCGTTTTTGTTGGATAGGTCTCGGGCTCTGTGATATATAGTTTTAAAAATGTAAAATGTGAGGATAAAGTGTGGAGGAGGGTTGGGCGATAAAATCGGTATCGATATTTATTGACCAAACACCATTGTCAATATCGATTAAAAAAAAAAAGATTCAGTATGAAGTTTTGTATGAAGGCTTTAGTTTTATTAAAATGAGGCTGCTGAGCATGCACCTTGGAAGCAATTCCAATAAGCTTAGGGAGTAAGTTTGTCACTTCCAATTGGAGCGATATGCACATGTTATTCAAGCTGCGCACACGTGTCACGCTCACATTTTCCAGCTGCACCAAGTTGAAAACATATCAACTTTTATGAATGCTGCGAGCGCACTGCGATTCATGTAAGTAGAACTAACCAATCTGCTTTACACTTTGTATAGAATCTACACATTTCTGTAAAAGGCAGACAACCTCAGACAAACACAGCACATCCAAACACTGCAGTGCTTTTTACTTTTTTGCATAAACTTACATCGGAGCTGCCGCAATGGTTTGTCTATTTGTCATCCTCTGAGAAAACACTTGATGGTTGCCTAGTTACAAGAGATGCCAGGGGAGCGAGAGTGCAAGGCTCATTGTAAATGGTAAACCATGCATTCGCACTTGTCACTTGAGATCAAAATAACAACACATGCGAAAATGAGTGCTGTATAGCAGCAGTGAGGAGATTGTAAATACGATGATGCAAGAAAGTCGCCAGAGTGGCTTTTTGGTTTCTTTTCTTGTGATATCCCAGCCACTAGCACCCCATTTGAAAGATTTTTTTTAGCATTGGGGTTATATAGTCATTCAACTTCACAATTTGATTTGTTGCAATATGTATTTGAATAATGATAATTAGTCCCTTTACTTGAAAGCACAGATTTGATTATTATAAATAGTTTGTAACATTTTATTAATCAAGTTTAAGAGTCTCTTTAGTACTTAAGTTTATTTTATTATAAAGAGATGAAATATTTTGTTTAAATATTTTTGTTTTTGACTATTAAAACTATCTGACTTAGTTATGTTGGTAAATTAAAATAAAGTGGTGACCGAATTATCTAAAACATGATGATATCATAATTAATATATATATATATATATATATATATATATATATATATAAAATAGCCCCCTATTATTAGATCGTTTGTTTGAAGTTAACTAGGCAGGTTAGGGGAATTAGGCAAGTTATTGTATAACAGTGGTTTGTTCTGTAGATTATCGAGAAAAAATAAAGCTTAAAGGGGCTAATAATTTTGTCCCTAAAATGGTTCATAAAAAATTCAAAACTGCTTTTATTCTTGCCAAAATAAAACAAATAAGACATTCTCCAGAAGAAAAAATATTACAAGACATACTGTGAATATTTCCTTGCTCTGTTAAACATAATTTGGAAAATAAAAAAATAAAATTCGAAGGGGGCTAATAATTCTGACTTCAACTGTATATATATATTATTTTTATATAAATGTATATCTCCTAGTCTGGGGAGTGGTGGATGTGGATTTAGCATTAAAATATGTAGTTGAAATCTTACAGTGTAAAGTCAACACTGTTTTAGTTAAATTAGCAAAACTTAGAACCAGAGTGTTGCATATCTGAAAACATTTATTTATCATAAAACTTATCCCTGGCATATGTTCGGTACAGACTGCTTTTCATAGCTATACAAACAAGGACCCACACAAGGGATTGATTCAAAGCTGGAGCTCTACATCTTCAGGAAGCAGAAAAATCCCTTTTCCCCCATCATGAAGCCAAGATAAGATTTGGAAAATATTATTATTTCTCATGAAATACTATGCTTTTATCCTATTATGTAAACACCCAAATGCACTTGTATTACTTCACTACACCACAGTAATTTTAAAAGAAAAGCTCAGCAATTAAGAAAATTAGTTCACATCACTCTTCCCCCAAAATGCAATCTGAGTTATATGTTGCTCTATTTCCAACTCTAAATAAATTTGAGTTTTAGAATGGTCTTAAACTCGATTCCTGGAGGGCCACAACTCTGCACAGTTTAGCTCCAACCACATCCAACTCTCACCTGCTTAATTAACTGCATCTCAAATGGCACACTACACTTACGCACAATGTACTTATGCACTTAAACACTTAACAGCACAGCATATATTAATGTAGTGTCATACCAAATGGAACACTAATGTTTATTTTTACTAAACAGAAATTCAAACTGTTTCCCTGATGGCAATTGATGGTTGCCAAATTAGTGAAATAAATGACCAAAGTACCAAATAATACCTGCCATGAGTATAATCGCATTCTCCATCCAGAGGTGGCATTATAACTTTCGAATGAGAATTTTGCTTTTTAAATAAAGTAATCCAACATGTGCGCTTGATAGCTCCACCCCTTCAGCCACGTGCACAAAGCTGCAAGTGCATAAAGTGTCCATCATTCCACACTTAATTTTAACAGTTGAATAAGTGCATCATCTCCGTAATTTAAGTCGATTTATTTTTTAAGAGTTTTAAGTGTGAACGCAATACTTACACTATTTATGCTAATAAGTATGCATTTTGGACACACCTATAGTCTCTACTAGAGTTGAACACCTTGATTAGTTGGATCAGCTGTGTTTGATTAGGATTTGAGCAAAACTGTGCAGAGCTGCGGCCCTCCAGCAATCGAGACCCATGCTCTACATGTTGGCTATTCCTGAATTAACAGAACTTTAAAGGGGTGGTCCACTATGATATCATAATTTAAACTTTAGTTGATGTGTAATGTAGCTGTGTGAACATAAACAGCATCTCTGAATGTAAAAAGTTCTAGGTTCAATGCAAAGGGAGACCTTGGTTTTTACAGGGTTAGCTTAGCAAAGCCTAAAATTAACAAATTTTGGGGACTACAAAAAATATTTCCACAAAAATACTTTCCTTTGTGAGATCACAAAGGTTCGTTTACTGCACAACTACATTGCGCAGCTATGGGCCGTAGCCTGGGACGCTGTAACGTTATTGACCTTATTCTCCGCAGATGAGCGGGCGCTGCCATTTGAATCTTTTTGGCACAAGACTCCCGGTCTCATTCACTTCCATTCATTTTTATAGACATTAAAAACTGCTCGTTTCGCTGTTTGATGTTGCAAACTGATATTTCCTTGTTATATTATTCTACTTGGTCTGTATAGTCATGCAAACATTTGTTTGTAGAGCAAGTAGTTTGACCGTTTTTTGCCGTTTATTATTCCTTGTCATTTTTCCCATAGGCGACTGAAATGGAAGTTCTAAGACAATCGCGAAAACAGGCGCACTTCCGCATTTTAGAATAAGGTCAATAGCAGAGATGAAGCTAAAAATGTGTCCAAACACTGCTTTTTCCACAGAGCTCTTTTTCTGTATTTGGGCTTCCAAAGGACACGACACAAAGACAGAAGTGCTTACAGTTCAATATTAATTATGTTCCAGAGAATTATAAAATACACAGCAAGCATGATTTGACAAAACAGCTCCAGAATCTCTCCTAGTTCAGTGCTGGATTTGGCTAAAATTTCCTCAAAGCAGAAGCTGCGAAATATAACCTGTAAGTGTTTTTATTTGTTAAAATTGATCATGACATGTACAGCGTCTAGCGTTAACGATATGCTGTAGCAACGATGTAAACAATGGGAAATGCTGCTTTGCAAACAAATGATTTAGCAACAAATTCATATTTATCAGTCAAACTGTTGTAAAAACACACACATTCCACAAGCACGTTCGTGTCTCTTATGTGTGCGCACGACTGCATTGATTGTCTTCAGGCAGCTTTTCCATGCGTTTCACATCTCGGATAATGAAGTCACAAAAGATATGTGGATGACTCATATTACTTACACCTGCATATTCTGATAAATGTGAAAAACGTCAGGATAGCTCACCTGTCTCGTGGTAGCAGCAGAAAAATAAATCAAGGCTCACACAGGTAGCATCCCACATCTTGTGTTTTATACTTCTGTCACGATAAATTACAGAAAATAACTTAATACAAGCATCAGAGAAAAAGAAAAAAAAAAAAAAAACTCCCGTGCACATGCGCTTGTTACAGAAAGTTCACACATTCACTCTCACACACAGATGCAGACAACATTCTCACACACACACACACACACACACACACACACACACACACACACACACACACACACACACACACACACACACACACACACACACACACACACACACACACACACACATAGACGCACACACAATGGCAAACGCTCTTAAAGGAGGCTGGAGGTTGACTG